ATATCTGTCTTATTCTCCATCTGTTTTTAAATGATTCCTAACATTGTTTGCTTTTTTGATTGCCACTGCACACAGAGTGGATGTTTTCAGAGAACTATCCACAATGACTCCAAGATCTCTCTTTCTTGCATGGTTATAGCTAAATTAGTCCCCAGCATATTGTATGTATAGTTCAGACTATTTTTTCCAATGTGCATTACTTTACATTTGTCAACATTAAATTTCATTTGCCATTTTATTGCCCCATGACTTTGTTTGATGGGATCTTTTTGAAGCTCTTCACAGTGGGCTTTGGTCTTAACGATATAGAGCAGTTTGGTATCATCTGCAGATTTTGCCACCCATTTTCCCCTTTCTCTAGATAATTTATGAATAAGTTGAATAGGATTGATTCTTGGGGGATATCACTAGTTATCCCTCTCCAGTCTGAAAACTGACTATTTACTCCTACCCTTTGTTTCCTGTCTTTTAACCAGTTCTCAGTCCATGAAAGGACCTTTCTTTTTATCCCAGGACAGCTTACTTTACTTCAGAGCTTTTGGTGAGGGACTGTGTCAAAGGCTTTTAGGAAATCTATGTATACTATATCCACTGAATCCACCTTGTCCACACGTTTGTTAACTCCTTCAAAGAACTCTAGTAGATTACCATTTTTGGATTTGAAGTTATTAATATTAACACCAAAAGAGTGGGGTGGGGTTTTTTGTTTTGCTTCTCACTTGTGTGTGGGCCCCTGACCACAAAAAGGTTCCCCACCTCTGTTGTAGCATCTGTAGCATCCTCAGGAAGACTCTCCAGGTTGGAGACAAGCTTCTCTTAAGACCTATTTTTTTTCCTTATGGCCCATTTCCCTGAACAAGGCCCTTCCTCACTCACTATATAGACTAAAAACAACCTGTCTAGTAGGTGTTCCCCAGGTGTAATGACATCTATTATTTATAATTTCAGCTACTAAAATGCATACAAATAGGATAATTATACTCAACAATCAGAACTTTTCCGATACCATTTCCTATGACAGAGATGGGTTATAATTTTTGGTGGGGGTCCACTCTAAGATTTTAGAATGTGGTCAAGAGCTGCGCTTTTTTGTGGAAGTGGCATGGGATCTGGGTTGGAGGTTGGGTACAGAAGGGTGCACGGGGTAAGGGACTGGGGTGCAGGAGTTGGTATGGGGTCTGAAAGGGTGTTTGGGTGAAGGAGGGGGTTGTGGTCGAGTCAGTGGATCGGGGTGCAGGGTCAGGGAGGGTGTTTGGGTGCAGGAGAGGATTCTGGCCTGGGGCAGGTGTGTAGGAGGGGGCACAGGGCCTGGCAGAGAGTTGTGACCTGGGGTAGGGAGGTGCAGAAGGTGTGGATGGTGACCTGGGAGAGGGAGTTGGGGTGTAGGAGGGGCTGGAGTGCCAGAGACAGGCTCTGGCTGGGAGGTGCTTAATAAGCATCTCCTGGGCAGGAGCCCTGCAGCACCCCCAAGACAGGCTGGGCTCCCAGCCTCCTGCAGCCCCTGACCACTTGAAAATGTAGACTGGGGCTGGGATTCTCAGCTCTAGGAGGGGGAAAAGCCTTGTGCTGTCCCAGTCCCCCAGGCCAATCTCTCAGCTCCTCTTTTGACTGGTTGTTTTCAGCCAATAGGAGCTGAGAGATTGGTTGGGGTCAGTTCCTATTGGCCAATTGTTTCCAGCCAATAAGAGCTGAGGATTGGGCTGGGGGCAGGGAGTTCACACAAAGCCTCCTTTTCCCTCCAGAGCAGAGAGGCACATGGGGAAGTCCTATGTTTAAAACAGCAGCTTCTGTGTAGCTAAGGATCCCAGCAGGGGGGGTCTGCAGGCTGGATGCAGTGGCTTGGTGGGCTGGAACCAGCCCATGAGATGTATCTTGCCCTGTCCTATGACTTATCTTGCACAAAATGCATCATAACTATGTCATAATCCTACCACAATATCATCATGTAGAATAGGGGGTGCAGAGTATCACACTGTTTGTGATAGAAATACTAGTGACTTTCCCCAGTACTGAAGTTTCAGAGGGGGAGCCGAGTTAGTCTGTAACAGGAAAAACTTAAAACAAGAAATAGTTTAGTAGCATTTTAAAGACTTTCATTATTCTTTGAAGTGTTACTAAACTATTTGTTATTTTTTAATTGTTTCCCAGTACTGAAGTCAGTCTCACCAGCCAGTAATTTCCAGGATCCTGTCTGGAGCCCATTGTAAAGACTAACATTACATGAGCTACCTGCCAGTCACCGGCGCCTCCTGGATTCTGAGGGGGTCTAACCTCTTCAAACTCTAGCCTGGGGGAATACTGTGTGTCCTTCTAAGACATCTCCCGCAATTCCAACAGGCCATGGGATTTCTCCTTAGTCATTTCCCTATCACATTATAGAATCATAGAACAATAGAGCTGGAAGAGACCTCAGAAGGTCATCAGCCCCTTGCTCTAGGCAGGACCAATTCCAACTAAATCAACCCGGCCAGGGCTTTGTCAAGCCGAGACTTAAACACCTCTAGGGATGAAGACTCCACTACTTCCCTAGGTAACCCATTCCAGTGCTTCACCACTCTCCTAGTGAAATAGTTTTTCCTAATATCCAACCTGGACCTCTCCCACCACAACTTGAGACCATTGCTCCTTGTTCTGCCATCTGTCACTACTGAGAAAGCCTTTCTCCATCCTCTTTGGAACCTCCCTTCAGGAAGGTGAAGGCTGCTATCAAATCCCCCCTCACTCTTCGCTTCTGCAGACTAAACAGACCCAACTCCCTCAGCTTCTCCTCATAGGTCATATGCTCCAGCCCCTAATAATTTTGGTTGCCCTTTGCTGGATCCTCTCCAGTGCGTCCACATCCTTTTTGTAATGGGAGGCCCAGAACTGGACACAATATTCCAGATGTGGCCTCAGCAGAGCCGAAGAAAGGGGAATAATGACATCTCTGGATCTGCTGGCAATGCTCCTCTTAATGCAATCTAATATGCCATTAGCCTTCTTGGCTACAAGGGCACACTGTTGACTCATATCCAGCTTCACATCCACTGTAACCCCCAGGTTCTTTTCTGCAGAACTGCTACTTAACTGGTTGGTCCCCAGCCTATAACAATGCTTGGGATTCTTCCATCCCAAGTGCAGGACTCTGCACTTGTCCTTGTTGAACCTCATCAGATTTCTTGTGGCCCAATCCTACAATTTGTCTAAGTCACTCTGGACCCTATCTCTGCCCTCATTGTATGCCAGTGTTATTCGCTGCTGGACAGCTGTTGTGTTTCACCCCAGAGGTGGCTGCATTTCAGTGGTCGGGAAATGATCCCTGTGAGTACAATATAGTTTGTTAAACTCTTTGTGATCCTATCTTGATAGAAACTGCATTATTGCACTCATTAAAACTGCCTGTTCTCCAGCAATGGGGATTACTCTGGCCACTAGGTGTCACTGCTGCTCCTTCCCACAAACAGCTGAGAATTATTTCTTTTACTTAAAGATTGCAAACTTTCTGGGGCAGGCACTGTCAATGATGTGAGAGTGAAATAATCAGTGGTACAGAATGGTGTAGCCACAGCATTTACCTTTCACCCACCAATTGAGACCGACAGAAATTAAAACTGACTGGCTGTGTCTAGACTGGCAAGTTTTTCTGCAAAAGCAGCTGCTTTTGCAGAAAAACTTGCCAACTGTCTACACTGGCCGCTTAATTTTGTGCAAATTAACTTTCTATCTACTGTAAAATTGTCAGTGTTTTTCCAGAAAAACTATGCTGCTCCCGTTTGGGCAAAAGTCCTTTTCCG